GCTTAAAGCTAAACTCAATCAAGTAAATGTTGAAAATGTTGGCCTTCGACTTCCATACAATAATACAGGTTTTGTTCAAACCTTTCCCGTACTTTTTGCAAAACTCCTGGGGTGATTTGAGCTCCTCTTCTTCCAATCCATTGTCCTGGAAACGTTTGGTCCAAATATTGACGAACCCCTGCAGCATAGTGGGGTGGCGCACCATCTTGCTGAAATACTAGACGATTTTCCAAGTACTCGTTATTTTCTAGTATCTCCACTAATGCTGGATGAATCGTATTTTCTAATAACTCCAGGTACATCTCTCCTGTTAGATTGCCAGGTAAAAAGAAGGGGCCTAGGATATGGTTACCAAAAATGCCAACCCAAACATTAATTTTTTCGGGATGTTGTGTATGCACCACACGAAATATTCTGCGATTTGAATCAGCCCAATAGAAAAAGGAGCATTTATTTCAACTCTTTCAGGAAGTGGATAAACCATTATCACTGTTCAATGTATCGATTTTGCAACTAAATAACTTTAAAGTGTTTCACTACTATGATTTGACAACAACAATTGACAATCACTATTAAACTTCAAAATGTTGCTATAATAACGCTCTCAACAATAACCAAAATTTAACTAATTCATTTACAAACATTTTTTCTTCATAAGAAAATGTTGACACGTTTTTATAACTTTTATTAGCTCCTGTATCGGCTAGGCAAATTAGTAGCGATTTAAAAGTTAAGGGTTATAATCCACATAAAAATACCTTCAAACTAAGGTATCACTCGACCCCCCATTCGATTTAAAATTTTGGGGGCGGTCGTCACCCCCGCTAGCGCTTTGCCCTTAGGGGGGCGAAACTAGCAAAATAATGGTTCCCCCTTGAATCAAAAATTGACGGGTCCGAGGATTTTTTTGTAAATGTTTTGAGGTTCCCAAAATAGGCTCTGTTTCGTTTTCAAATGGCCACCCTGTATAGAATTTTCAGAAGCTTCATAATGATTTCTATGGTTTCTACTATTACTACTATAAACCAACGTTTTGTATTATACATACACCTTATTTCTACGCCACTGATTTCTACGTAAAAATGCACAAACCTTTTTCCTTTTCTATTTTTTTTTATATCTCTCATAATACTGAAACTACCGACTTTTGAAGAAAAAAGTAGATTTTGGTTTTTCGTCGACATTTAACCGACATTGTAAATTTTGAGATTCGTATGCTGTACACCATAAATAAGCCACCTTGCATTCCGTCCATGATTTGCCATCAAGTCTTCGATTTCATATTTTACACTCAGAGCGCTGTTATGTCTTTTGCATATTTCTCGTCTGCGAAGGGTGGTTTCCTTTTCCTTAATCGTTTGGATTCTTTTTCTTAAATATATTTTAAATATGCTTCGTAACCTTTGTTGGGGCGCACTATTTTACGATTTAAAATTTAATAATGACCTTATGCCCTGATTCACAATATGCACATATTTGTTTGAATACTACAATTTCTGCTGAACCACATCTAATAAAATGTCAATTAATTACAAAATAATTTGTCCAGTTTTCTACTGCACACAATGTGCTTCCTAACCTCACTAATAACCAAACCCTGAATCACCTCGTGGGAGAACAACCATTTCCTTTAGTGGTTGAAGGAGGTGATTGTCAACACAAGATAGTGCAGGAAAAGACTTTCCTAGGCTCCTCAAGACTGCTTTCTGACGACCTGGTGGCGATTAAACGGCTCGATTCACTACCATCTAACACAATTCTTAACAGGACACGAGGAGAACGCAAAGTTAATAGACGGCACTAGTGTCGCCTAGTGAAGATTTTTTTCGCCCAGTAGTGTGTAATGATACCAGTACTATAAGCTCACTTTCAAAAGCAAATTGGTGAGACCTAAAAAAGGGCCTGGGCGTACAATGGGCGTCGATCCTAGATGTCTTTCTGTTTAAAGTAAATCAACCCCCGGAGAACACACCTACCAAACGAAGGGTACTATCCAGAATCGTATCGAGAAATTTCCAGCCCGGTTGATAGATAAATGGATACCTTCTAAGAAGCAAGTAGGGCAATTCGAAATCCCAAGATGAATCCACTACGACGCGAAAGTAACCGTTAAGCTTCATGCCTTCTGTGACGTCTCAGAAAGGGCCGACGGCGCTGTGATATACAACCGGGTGGTGTGTGCAAATGGGCAAATAAAAACATCGATGTTAATAGTCACATTGAAGAAGACCCTACCGCGGTTGGAGCTAGTGTTGTTAACAGAACCAAAAAAAAAACTAAACCTGGGAAACGTGCAGACATTCGCATGGTTAGATTCCATGATTGCATTAATATAAATCAAGGGTAACTCGGAAAAATACAATAATCTCGTGGGGAACAGAATGCAACTTTTAACCAGCTACTCTTTTAATTAAATTCTTGACTAAGGTAGTCAAAATTCATCCGGAAAGACGACAATGCAAATCGCACATGAATTAAATTAATGGGTAATTACGTAATCACTTTAAGGTTTTATAGATGACATAAATTTGACTAAACACTCTCCTAATTGAAAGCAGATTGATGTATCCAATTATCTTCACTCAAGATGTTATGAAAAGTGACTTAATTTTTATCTGCAGGCAAAGGAAAAATATATGACGGTATGGACGTTCGCGAGATTTCCAAATTTAATTACATTAAAAGCTCTTCACTTTGTTTTATATATTTACCTTAAGATGGCGGATTTTTATAATGGGCTCCTTGTGTTAGCACGTAATTAAGTATCGTTCCTTGAAGCGGCGATAAATCTTTTTACTCCACCAACTTCATTACATGAAGTGAGAATGGGGAGAAATTTCATTACATCAGTTGTAGACTTGAGGTTTCAATTAATATCGATTTACAGCATAATTCCATTATTCAGAGACGAATTGAATTTAAGGAGAGGTTTTTCTTGTAATCCGGCCGAAAAACGTTTTAGGATCGTACTGTTTTAATTATCCGGTTAATGTGACGTCGGTCATTTTCGCTTGGAAACTTTTAATGTAAACTCAATTAAAGTTTAAAATATGATTGCCTCACGAAAACTTAACTAGCTACTTCTTTTTAAAAGGGCAACGAGTTATTTTATAATAATGTTTTATCGCCAACTTTAATTAGTTCTTATTTTGAAAATTTTCTGTAAGAATAAGTTTGCTGCGTATAAAAGTTTGATTTTTCTTTTCTTTACTGCGTTCTTTTGAAGTGGGCGGGGTCGGAACTGAAACTTCTTTAGATTACGTTTGAGTGCACAAAAGCTTTTTCAGTTTCAACTGATGTGCTGTACTGCAATTTAATTGTGCTGAAATGAAAAGTACTATTGCAGTGTGAAAACTGTATTCAATAACTTAAAACTCCCTACTTTTGTAGGACAATTTTCGTACATTTTTATTGACTTTAAACTATTTGATGGCACGCCAAGTTGGAATTTTAGGTACCCACTCAGTTGTTCTCAGAGAATCTAAGCCTCGCTTTATAAATTATCAAAGTAGTTTTGATTAGGAAGGGAAACTTTAACAAACAGGAACAAAGGTATTATATACGACTAGCTGAACTCTGCAAAGTTCTTTGCTGTTACTAATTGCAGTTCTGAAAACTATGCAATTAAAGTAAGGGTACAAAATTAAACTTCTGGAAAGCAAATTTCACACACTATTTATTTTAATTTCATAGAAAATTTGGGTGTACTAAATTTGGTATAAGTAGAGTATTAATAATCGATGAGCAAGAGAAAACGTAATCCCTCTTTCGTTGCAGCAACGAAATAAACCGAAATGGGCAAGTTTTATAATTCTTTACGAGTAGCTCGTCTCGTTTTAACAAACACAACCGGAACATCCGCAATGCAAAAGAAATTCCTTTGTTAAACTTAAATTGGAGAATCTCGAGCGAATGCAAGATTTCGTATTTGTTTAACAAAATCCGAGTCATAAATAATTTAACGCCGTTGTATCAAATTAAGAAGTTATACGAATTTAGCGAAAGGAAGCTAAGAAATGGGAAGCTCTGTTTTTGAGTCGCTGGCAAGAACGGGTTAATTCGAGTGTATAAAAGCTCACTGAAAGATATAATAATAATGGAACGAATACGGGCTGTTACCTTTTCTTACCTCGTAACACTGTTAAAATTTCATCTTTTGTCCGTAATTCAAAGAGACAATTTGAGAATTTGTCGGTATGAATTTCATAATAATGATGCTTACTAGAGTGTAAATAGATTTCGTAAGAAAAGACCATTATTTCACTTGGATCTTTGCAACAACTTACAGGTTCTTTCAAAGTATGTTGTTAAAAACTTATTTTCTAAATAAATGTATATTAAATACTTAAGCTGGAATTTAGATTTGAATGTAATTGTCTATAAAACGTTACCATTTTACATTATTTTACAAACAATCTTATAAATTGAGATTCAACGGTTTGCAGCCCATAGTATTGTCATCTAGGGTAGTGTGGGACTCCCCAAAATCACTAATCTACCAAAGTACATTCGCTGAATGGTGGCCTTCTACCGGCGGCGTTGCCTGTTTAACCCCTTTCGGTCCCCTCTCTCGATGGTGTTTTGAACTCATGGATTATGTATCCACGACTATTTTGTCCACGTTCCTTGTAACTTAAATGCCAAAATCTTCACTATTTCAGTTTTTCAGGTTTACGTATAAGCATTTCCTGCATACTAATATACTCGTAATTGACATGGTTTAAGGAAATTAAATGTCTGATATAAATAGCATGTAAACGGTTACAATAAATATTATCATTTAACCATCTTCGAAGTATCAGAAACGTACCGGGTTTGATTTATCAGATAATCCCCGACCGAATTTTATCTCGTGGAAGATTTGCTTGGATGAGTATTAGGATTTACAATCCTAATTTAGTAATTGTTTCCCCAACGGTTTGTAGTTCAATATAAATAGTTCGTAAGTTCAATCAATATAATTTAAACCCTGAATATTAATAGATATTATTCTATTTCAGGTTCGTTTATTACTGATTCTCTAACCCTCACGAGGCGCAGGTATGTATTACAATTGTTAAGTTAACCAAAGTTACAGTTCACATTTCCAATTTAAAAACTGTGGTAGTATATTCAAAACAAATAAGAATTATTGGTGTTGGTATATGTTATCAGGTTACAGAAGCTCCAAAAACATTAGCAATACCATCAAAATATTAAATAAGTATTCTCTTCTAACACTCTTTCTCTCATTTTTTTAATCAAGACAAAGAAAACAATAAAAGCACAATTTAATTATTTTCGACATCGAGACTTTGGATCAGAGTCGTTTTTCAAAATCGCAGCTAACTAATTGATTGCACTCTCTTATTAGATTGTATTTATTGACTTCCATAATTGGATTTGAGCAATCAGAAAGTTTTATGAGTCACCCTACTCCAGTTAAACATAGAGCCCTTTTCATGCGTCACCTTGCTGCATTTGGCTCCATTACCAACTTAGCATTTAGCCCATCATGACATTGCCTAGACGCTTTCACTATACCCATGCAGTTGGTCTACCTTTGCACATATTAAATGTTGATAATTCTTTAATGGACTCTGGAGAACTGGCAAGACATTAGAAATAAAAAAAATGCATTAAAGAAATTCGGTAAAAGTATAAAGGAATCAGTAATGGAGTAGGAGATTACAGAAGATCTTAGGGATATTTTAGAGAATGGTAAAGAGATTGTGAAAAGGCTTTCTCGAAAAGGGATTCTCAAGAGATATTGGTAAGATCTTGAAAAAAGACCCTCTAATGAATTCTTCTAGTATTATGAGGAGATTCACAAATAAAGATTCGAAAGACGTTCTAGAAAGATTCTGAAGGGATTCTAAATAGATTCCGAAGAACTTTTGCCTACGCCGAAGAGGCTTAAAAAAGTTGTAAAGAGACTTTAAAATGAAGGATTCTAAGGGATTACAAACAATCAGGGTTTACATAAACTAAAGAGAGTGTGAAGAGACGTATAAAAACTAAAAAAATTGAGGCCTGCACCAGTGGCGTAGCTAGGGGGGTGCGGTAGGTGCGGTCCGCACCGGGCCCCTGAACTGAAGGGGCCCTATAATTCATCCGTGTAACCGCGAGGCCGGGATAACAAAAATTATGCAACATTTTTGAAAATCTGTGGTTGATCGATAGTTTGCAGAAATACTGTAACGGAAACGCTTCAGACGCGACGTCGCCTTTGGCGCTCTGGAATTTTCTACGCGCGCGATAGCGGGATTTGTATAGGAATATTCGAGACTTATCTGGTAATGACGCGAGTGTTCTCGACTTACATTGCTTGCGTGTATAAATGGTTGCGGACCGAACATCGCAGTCAGTTTTACTACCGAACGAGATCGAGTACGGACGAAACATTGAGCGCGAAAATCCGATATAAATTGCGAAGTGTGTAATATAAATGGTCGATATAAATTGTACAGTTTTTATAGTGTTTTAGTTTTGTGTAATAAATATTGATAGAAATCGAACCCGAATTTATAAATCACGTTACAATACGAATAAAATAAAGGTAAGTAAATTTGTAAGTTCTGACCATTTTTAAGCTAATCAAACATGAGCTAAAACAAGCCGGCCTTCGTAATTCATTCTGTTATGTTCTATGCTATTTATTCATTACTTTTATGCAGTTGACAAAACCGCTGCACTGAGTGCAATATGACTCGACGACAAAACTGTAATATTACGCACGCTTTGTTGTGACTCGTGTTTGGAGTTCGGTTACGGACGCCCGCCAGCAACTTGAGATTGTCAAACCTTGCAATTTTATCTATTGAGCGTGAAGTTACTGATTCGATTGATTTCAATTCTGTTATTGCTGATTTTGCTAATACGAAAGCACGTAAAATAAGTTTATAGAACTTAAATGTATTTTTTTTACACAAAACGCTGTAAATAAATTTCCTAAACCAAATATAGCTTATTTTTGTTTAAATGTTTCCCATTAGGTTATCACACATATTTCGTGTTTCTTTGGGGGCCCAGAAATTTGGATCCGCACTGGGCCCAGAGAACCCTAGCTACGCCACTGGCCTGCACAGATTAATAAAAGGATTGAAAAGTAATTCATAAGGCAGAAGGCACCTGTTTATCCAACAACCTTCGTCCTTTCGATAATCATGCCTTGAAATCAACTCCGTGAGAAAAAATGATGCACTGCTTTTGTGATTATTTAAATAATTCCTTAAATTCATTATTTACAGTATGTCTAAATTAAACATCCTATCCCTCAATTCTCTTAGCTTGTATAAATTTATGTCTATGAATTTGTATTTGATTATTTACGAAATAAACACAAAGTTAGTTCGTTTCTCTTGAATTTTCATCTCAGTGTTTGTTTTTATGTTGGAAGTGGTGTTTCGTTATGTACTGGAGACAGACTGGAGACAATGCGGTTGGTCTCGCGACGGGTTGAAGAGGTCAACGAATTACGGACTGTCAGCCTGTTTTGTGCAAAAGTAATTCGTTCATACCGAAATAAAGTGTGCTGAAGCAAATTAATCAATGTGGTGTACGAATTTAACGAGTGTTTTTTTGAGTCCAATATAACTGACCCTCAAAATAATCCATAGCAATCCCTGATTTTTTAAAACTATCCTGCGCAGCAACAATGTATCCTTAAAAATTCATTATAGGGTATAAAGTAGCATCACAGACGTAAAAAAACGTAAACACAGAGAGATCCCTCCTGAGATATCCCAAAAATTCGCCATTTGTACTTGGAAACATGGGAGCACTTGTAATCGTAGGTAATCGTAGACAACTCCACTCAATGCTCTCCACAGATCCTTTCAAATTTTCCGAAGAATTTTTTTTTATATTATTTTCATTTATATATTTGTCATCTACTTTGACAGTCTATTCAAAAACTGTTATGGATTCCTCAGGTACTTCAAAAATTCTGCATGCAATTTTATTTCTTTCGAAAATTTCCCCTAAAAATTCCGACACACCCTATTGGCGATGCAAGTATAATTTTAATGACAAAACTTTTCTTCCAACAGTAGTTAATGAAAATTTAAAAAAATGGAAAATCAAATTAGATGAATAAATATCAAATCTTTATTATGCACTGAATTCCAGTAAGGACTTATGTGAAGATTAGAACGACTGTTTTGGCTCACACTGTACGTATACTTTTAATCACTCTGTAGTCTGTACATTTTTATAAACTTTCCTTGTTAACAATAGAACATTCATTTATTTGCAGTTAATTAATAATTCTAAATATAACCAGTTGGTGGTCATCGTAAATCGTGTACATATGTAAAGCATAATCTTGCTTCATCTTCATTTTATTTTTTATTTTGCCTTATTTTCACTATTGTACCTTGTTTTAATTTTTTTATATAATAATAATAAATTTTTTATTTTACAATTTTGCACTTAGTCGTTTCCAGAAGAATTTTTTGCGATTTTTCGATTTGTGAAAAAAGTGTTGTACGGATACTGACCTTAATAATTATATTTCTTTCTTCAACTATGTCTTTGAAACTCTGTTTGCTTTGCAAGGACTTTAACTAGTATGCCTTATCGTACCTATATTTTCACATTTTTTACACATCGTCAATCTTTGAAGATCTGTATCTTCGGATCCAATTTTCCATTAGTAATGTCTCTGTCTCGTTTGCTTTACGAAAAGCAATTCATTAACTGCATAAATGTATTTTCCAAAAATTTAGAAACAATTCGAAAAACCCTTCGGTTTAGTCCTATGGTCACTACCTTATCACTTATTTTATTCGTTTTTAGTACGCGTCAATAAAAGCTTGTTTTTTTCTCGTATCAGATAAAATGATTCTGATTGAAATTTCACTCCCCTAAGAACAAAAAAATGGTTGCACCGCGTCTTTTTTTTAATCTTACATTGTAACTGCTGTTTGGGAACATCCTGCGGAATCACTGCTGTTTCTGTTTTTCGTACAGCACAATTGTTTGTGGCTAGTCCCCCTTTTACTTTCTTTTTAAAGTGAGAGTTCTGGATTTTTTTACTTTTGTACTCAAACCTTAAGAAAAAACATAACAACAATGGTTGACGTGTTGTATTTAGCACACACCATGACGCTTTTGTCTGTCTTCATCCATTTCGTTGTAGATACGCATCTGTTACAGGGGTAGCTCAGTTTGCTGGTGGGAGACTTATGTTAAAAAAGAGATTTGCAAACGCATATACATAGCGATCAAAAATGAGTGACCGTCGAGTCACCTTTGGAATTTTTGTTTACATGGGAAATCTACTTAACTCGAACTTCCAAAGGCGACTCGAAGGTAACTCATTTTTGATCGCCCGATACTGTAACTTTGGAAGATAACAGTCCTTTCATAAAGTCCATATCGTTCCCATGAGGAAAAAGGAACAAATTTACTTTTACCGCAAACAAACAGCAACGAATTAATATCCAACCTTTGCAGCCATGCAGTTGAACAGTTAAGCTTAATCAAATTACCGTGGCCTAATTATTTCGATAGCTCCATGCCGGCTATGCGCTTATCTGCCAAAAAATTACATTTTCCATTTTTTCCTGTTTTTGCACTGTCTGCGGCAGAAAGTAGCCGTATAATTAGATTGCCGCCAACATCGCGGTCGTATTAGAACGTTGACAAGGCTAATGCCGCAAGACGTTGTCAGAGTTGGCTGACTATGACGTCACATCAACGCCAGAAATAAGAAAATTAAACGCCACCGCAGCTTTCTCATATAAATGGAAACAAGACCCGTCTTCTGTCTAGTTGTAGTCGTAATATTTGCTGAAAGTTTTTATTGGTAGTTCGCCCTCCGTCCCAGATTTTTCATTACAATCAGTCTAATAGGAAACGTTTCTAATTTAAAATTTTAGTTATAAAAGTAATAACGGGGGGAAACGTATACGAAACCTATTGTTAAGTTTTCCCATTTATGGCGACGTTGTTTTCGGTGCTTTCAATGATATCATTACGGTTTATTTATAATGACAGTATTATTAAACACCGCAACAGCCACAAAATGTTTGTTAACGAAACCACAAAGCCAACAAGTAA